TTCAAACAATGTATTCTTTCTATTCTCGTCGAGCAGCAGTAGATCATTCGACAGGCGAGTTTATTTCGAATTTCTTTCTATTGTTGTGTCTCTAAGAAATAGAAGAAGAAAAGAAAATGAGAAAAAAAAAGTAAATCAGTTTACAGAGTCGATAAATTTCTAATTACTGTTTTTCTTTTTCTTTCTCATTTTCTTTTTCTGTTGTCTTTGTTGACTTTGTAATATATAATCGTGATAGTAATTAAAAAATGTAAGTTGATGAAGAAAAGAGCATAGGCATACGCCGATACAAAAAGAAGTCCTTCTTATGTATACATAAAAAATATCTTAATCTAAATGAGAATGGCAACGAAATCGAAAAAAAAAACATTCGAGAACAGAATTATTTCTTGTAATATAAATCGATGAATAAAAATTGAGTATTATCCAGCAAAAAGGAAAAAAAAGAAAACATAATATGACTTACTAACTATTAAAAAAAAAATAAAAGAAACCAATATAAACTTACGTTGTTCAACATGAAACGTCATATAAGGTACATAATTGGTTACATATTCTAATTTTTGAAATGGTTCAAATGATGCACAAATATATGAAGCACCATCTTTCAAACTATTAATATCAGTAATTTCTGAACCATTTTGTGGTGTAAATAAACGTCGTACACCATATGGTAAATCAATAGTACTTGATAATTCTTGTAATAATTGTCGAAGTTTTGTATAATTTTGTGGTGCTATAGCTATTTGTTTACCAGGAAAATAACGATCACCATTACGATATAATGTTATTTTACGTAGTGATGTTTGAGATGATTTATCATTTATTAATCGTTGTAGTGATCGACGATTATTTTTTCGATAATGATGTTGCGAGTATGAAGATTCTGGCATCGTGCTACGTAGCCATTGATTATGTGATGAAACAACATCCGTCATTTATCAAAATTGATGAAAAAATACTCCCAAAGAGAGAAGATATTACACAGAACAACACCAGATTTATTGATTACTTTAGAAATTATAATTTTAACATGCAAACAGGCGACGAAGTCTTACTCAATAGAATAAAAGATCAACACCTACAAGTAGTGCGATTTTCCATTATGTTGTCATGACAATACCGTTAAGTAATCGCTTACAAGAACAATTAATTCAAGAGTGAAATAAGTGACAAAAATGACGATATCTAGCGTCATCTTTTGTTTTGATTGTTTTTAAAGAATGAAAAATCGTTTTGTTTAGAATTTAAAATTGATTTAATTTATGCGAATGTTTTTAGTCGAAAAAGTCTCTCTCTTAACTGTTTACAAGTCTAATTTTCTATACGTATGCGTACGAAACCTGATACAAAAGCTTTACTTTTTTCATCATGCTCCTTCATCGAAAAAGTTAAGTAAATTTGTAAATAAAAGAAATGACTATCGATGGCAAAAAATAATTGATTAAATGTTGGATAAACGAAGAGTGAAATATATGTCATCTTACATGATTGACAATCTTTTGCTGAGTACTTGCATCGCTTTCTTTTCTTCAAACTATGCTTGTAGATATAAGAAGAATATACAATTCGAGGTGACACAACGCTAATAGGAAGATCTATATAACTTTCTGAATTGATAACAGTAGCAGATTTAGGCGTTTTATGAATTTGATCGTTTCCTATCTCCTCTGAAGCGCGCCCCATCGTGAAAATCCTAGATTCACTACTGAAGGCTACATAATAATTGCGAGCAAAAAAAGGGGCTGCCTCGTTTTTTATTGTATTTCCAAAATGCAACCACTTTTCAGTTAATGGGCAATCAAAAGAAATTATATGATATATATTTATTTATACATATCATTACTACAGTAATTACATGAACGGAAAAGAATTTGACTTCTTTACTACTATCTTTAGTATCTTTTAAAACATTTATATATCGATGAGAAACATTTCGTAAGTGTTTTTGATGTGAATTAAAATCTTGCTCTTAAGAGTATAGATGTTGGAGAAAGATAAAACCAACATTCATTGCATTTTAAAATTGTATCTTTAATCGATATAAATAATTATTATATAAAATTGCTCTTTTGTTTTTTTGTGTTGTGGATCAAGCAGATTTAGTAACCATTGTGTCCAATGAAATGTCTCTTTCATTGTCATCATCATTCTATATTTATCAACAATACACAAATCATGATTCAACGTCGCAGTGAATAATTAATTAAAAAAAACAAGCATTTTTTGGAAATGCAACAAAAATGAGACAATGCAATTTTACTCGTTCTGCAAAGGGGTCATTTTTCATTAATTGACTTAAATTTTGGTTTGCAATCAAGAAGCTATAGTCAAAGAAAGACAGAATATAATGCGTCTAGTCTTTCTCATCATTCTATCGATGGTACTCCTACAGATCAACGGCAATGCAGCGCTCACACACTTTAATGCTTGGCATGTCCTGTCAACTGAACCAATTAGTTTATAGAGTTTCGTCGATCTGAAGAAAAATCCTATCGGTTTATCTTTGCAACACATAGTAACAATGATGAATAATACCTGATAGAGATTAATAAAAATAGTCGAAAAAATAACTACTAAACAACTAAAAGTCTATCATCATGACAGCAGTTACTTCATTTTCACTAGGTGTGTAGGTCAGCCGTCATGGCCAATTATTTATTTTATTAATTCATAAAAAGGAAGATTTTTGGTCGTAATAGATCACTATACTTTCAATTTGAATAACAAAAACAAGAACTACAAAATATTGGGTATGCACATTTTATGAGTGTTCAGCAAAAAGCACTACAAATTTAAATGAACAATTGGTTACAATGTTTGATGATCACGGTAACCGCGCCAATAAAGAGAAAACTGAAGTACATGAATTTCATAAGAATTTTTTGATGGAACACAATCTAAAAGTAGTGTTTAAAGAATAGATGTTAAAATTTGGACGACCTCTCCTCGCCTCCGCCTCACACCCTATATCAATAACGTTTCGTTGTAATATATGAATTACTTTCTTATTAAATTAGTAAGAGCAGCTACATCGTGTTTGACATTTTAATCCCATGGTAATTGCGCTAACAACTTTTATTTTTCTCTTGACTTGCGCATGGTCTCTGTTACAAAGCTAGTATTACTTCATGCAATAACGAATGTGGCTTGGTCGTCAAAATTTTCTAAAGCATTTTTTGATCATTTTCCAATTCGGGTTTTTTTTTCATTTCGATATTTATATGGTCAGTCAACTAAACTTGTTTTCACAAATATGTATTAAACTTTATTTGACATCCTCTCTTTGGGATTAGTTTTTTTGAAAATTATAATGAAACACATCATCGATCATAGATTTCATCTATACAAATACATATAATAAAATATATTTGTAAATTTGTTTAATAATAACTTAAGACTTCGAACAGTCGCTCAATATATTGGACTATTAATTGAGGACATTTTTCATTAATTGGAAGAAAAAAGCATCCGCAAAGTAGAATTGGCGTGGAGCGGAAAAGACAAAAGTGGCCGCATTATGAAAACATGCGAAAATATATATAGCAAGAAGATTAGTATAAGTAGCTCAATTTAATAGTGAATATTAGAGTGTGGATCTTCTTTTAAGCCACTCTGTCATGTCCATTCTCTGAACCTAAGAATTATTAGATACTCTTCTATTTTGCATTTATGAGTTTTTTCTGTATAACTTTTTCACATAATGAATATTGAGTCGATTATATTTTGTGATCATTTTTCTTCAAATAATTAAAAACAATGTTTGCAATCCGAATGTATTCTCTTGGTAATAGTCATCATGTCTGATTCTCATGTCTGCTATAACAATAGAGAAAACAATACTTTATTTTCCGAGATTAAACAGATTAATGTATGGCCAAAGCAATTAGTGAATGAAATGCGTGTTTCTTTAGAAAAACTACATATCCATTTACAAAATATTGTTTCCTTGGTTAATATTGTAATATATATATATATTAATTTGTACATTATACGCTGGTTCTTATCCAATCCCACGAAATTCTCAACTAATTTGCTTGATTGACAATAGGGAATAGCACAGGATAGGGGTGTGGCTTTTGTTATTCTGATGCAGCCTCGACATTTTATTCAAAAATAATGATGTGAAATGAATGTTCAAAACAAAGTTGATGATAAAAAAATACTGTTGTCTAACAGAGAGACATGTTCTTGATTGCATGAGTATTAAATTTTCTTATTTCGTAATATTATAAATGAAATAATTTGTTTCATATTAATTATGAAACTATCCATTAAATGTTTTTCGAAAACAATATTATAATGACATACAACCTTTTTTTTTTCTAATTATTTATCAATAAATTATTTCGCTTATTACCGCAAGCAAAGTCAACTAAATAGTAACACAATATTAGATCTTCATAATGAAAAAATTTCAATTTTTCTTTATTAATTATCTGTAAAATCTTTATATATTGAAACTTAGAATAAGTTTCATACTTAGATAGATTAATATGATAATGATTCACCTTTTGACTTGTGGTTTTTTTGTCATCTTTGCGAAACTTCGGCGATATAATATTAAACATGACCTACATAGTTAATAATCACTTCACGACTTCTCATTACTTCTAATTCAACATTCATACAAGCACAAACTTTAATTAGCATCCTTTGTAGAATATCAGAAAGAATATTAGAAGATACCTACGATAATCTCGTAGGCATGGGTGCTTAATGATAGTGAGAGAACATCTACGATACACGGACGGAATATTTCAAATAACAAGGAAATACACACGGAAACTCATAATTGAACACATCGGGAGGTTTTGATGATATTAAAAGAAAATAATTCTATTATTTTATTTTTATCTGATATACCGATTCAACAACAAAAAAAGTTAGATACTCATTAATGTGGTTTTATGGTCGAAGTTAGAGTTAACTTTAACAAGGCATAGAAAGCAAGTATCTGGGTAAAATATTACAAATAAGAACGAAAATTCTTTTTTCTAATGGCATCTAAAGAACCAACTATTGTCTTCATAACATATTTCATATCTGTTTATGTGGGTTATTTCAATGTAATTAATGGTTTGATTGGAAACATTATCAATATTCTTGTTTTTACTCAATTAAAATTATTTCAACGAAATCAATCAGCATTTTATCTTACGGTTGCATCTATTGTTGATTCTTGCCAATTAATTTTTGCAATTGCTACTCGTATTACTGTAACTGCTTTTGGCTTTGATTTAACACGAACGTCTCTTATTTGGTGTAAACTTCGAGCATATCTCATTCGATCCACACGAATTATTTCAATAGCCACTATTTGTTTGGCAGCTATTGATCAATATTTATCGACCAATTATCATGTTCAATTAAGACAAATGAGTACATTCAAATCAGCTCAATTTCTTATTAGTATTCTTATTATATTTTCATTTCTATATTGTATTCCTTTTTTGATATTTCATGAAACTCGTCGATATTCGAATTGTGCAATATTTCATCGAACATTCAATTACTTTTATTCATTTGCTCATTACTTTATGTTACTTGGTATCTTACCAATCTTTATTTCATCATTATTTAGTTTACTTGCTTATCGAAATGTACGTCGTATAATTAGACGTCAAATGGCAATAGTTCGTCGACGTCTTGATCGTCAATTAACTGCAATGATTCTCCTACGAGTTGCTTTGTTTGTTATTACAACTTTACCTTACATTAGCTTTCGTATATATCAAATCAATACTTCTGTCAGCCACAATCATACAGATGCTGTGGGAATTATGGGATTGATCAATGTCATTTTAATTACAATCTACAACATAGATTATTCGGTATTTAAGTATTGATTTTGTATTGATTATTGGATTTCTTTGTTTGTTTATTTTTTTGTAGGGCAGTTTTTTTGTTTTTTTAATATCATCAAATCGATTTCGTCGACAAGTAAAATACTTTTTTTATAAAAAAATCTGGCGAAAATATCTGTCAATTAGAATGAAAAGAAATCAAGTTGCATCTGATAATCAATTACATATTATAGGAGTTAATGGACCAAACCCCAACATCAATTAAGCAAGTTTCATATAGCGTAATATTAATGTTCGAATAAGTGAATGTAGTTTCATCGTAATTAGATACAGAGAATGATGTTAATCATGTAATTGTTTGTGAAATGTTTGTTTGTACTTTATTTCCCAGTGAAAGATGTTATCATGAATTTTGTACTCCATTTTCCCCTAGTATTTGTTGTATTGTTGGTCTAAATTGATGATGAAATATTATCTGTGTCTTTTTTTCTTACTCATATAAATCTTTCTTCATCTGAAACGTATCTTAATGCATTGTAAAATAAATTTTGAAAAAAGTCAAAAAATAACTTTTGATTCATATCGATCGATTGGAACTGAATTGAAATAGATTGAATAATTATTGAAAATAAAGCAAGTCATAATGGTAGGATAAATTCAGCAAATCTACACTCATACATATAAATCATTGAGTTCTACAAGCTTGAAACATCAATTATGCAGAATTAGAAAGAAATTCTCATTACGTAATTACTTTATTCTTATGAAGATAGTATAATGAAAAGTTCTTGGATAAAATAGTGAATTAAAACAAAGAGATAAATCATCAAAAATAATATTTTTCATATAAGAAATGCTAGATTTATCGAAATGTTTTTCAACATATCAGTAGTATTTCACATAATTGGAAAAAAAACTAATTATGAAAGAAAAACAAAACAACAAATCATCATGCATAAAATGAAGAGAGAAAAGAGTGTGGGTGTAAGCGTGGGTGACTATGTGTGAGGAAATTATGCACACTCATGCCCTCAGAAAACATGTATTTTTGGCGCCGTCTTATATTTCAAGTTATACTAGAGAAAAGAATATTACATCACATACAAGTCAACAAATTTGGTCTAACCACATTTGTTAGTGTCTCGTTCAATTATATGTCGATGGATCAAGCCAGACTGATCGCTCTGAAACTGATTGTATTTAGTAGCAGACAAAAAGAATTTATTAAGATTGTTCTTTGCCATATAATATTAACCAGAAGCTACGAATGTCGAATCTGTCTTCAGAAGTAAACCATAACTGAAAGATATTCTTTGATATTATAGTTGTTGGAAAAAGAAACTTGCACAAAAGTAGAAATTTTTTTCACTCTTGTCGCGTTTTATGAAGCCATTATTAACTCTCGTTTTTCAGTTATTATTTATCGTTAGGTGGAAAAGAAATAATCTAATGAAGATGTCTTTGTTTTTTGTTTTTGATATATAAAAATGCGGAAACCTCGGACTTAAATCCGAGAGTTATATGTACTTCAAAAAGTGAATGAGACAAATCAGTCATCCTAGAATGTGTGGATATACAAATTAGCTTGGCAACCCTTTTCTATGAATACTTGAATTCTATTGACTACTGCTCAACCAATACGATTTGGGGGCGAATACAACTCAGATTTGAACTCTTCGCCTTCATTTACCCTCAGAAAGTCGTTTTTTCTATAACTTGATTTCTATTGGTCAGTGCTCAACCAATAGGGGTTTGAAACAATTGGAGTACAGATTCGAGTTCTCCACCTCAGAAAACCTTCAAGCATTATCTCTTATCGGAAGATAGTGCTCTATTTGTGGATCAGTTAGAGCGTGGACAAGAACAGAACTGATTTTCATTTATTTATCTTTGCAATAGGTGAGCTAGCCTTCTTGTTTCTTTATGTTTTATGTACCATTTTGTTGCTCGTAAAATTCTCTATCGAATGGTATATAATAGTTGGGGTTTTGTTTGAGTATGATAGGAAAATTGTTTTACGAAAGCGAGCAATGGTCGATTTTCCCACAGGAAGCCACAGGGAAAAATGAGTATTTTTGCAATAACCCAGGAACGGTTCTGTCAATTCTTCTCATCTTCGAACTCGACCGAGACATTGTTAAGACTGAACTGTGTAGAGAATTTCATCGCCATCGGACTCTCCTTTCAAAAGTTATCGTGTAAACGGACGACCGGCCATACTGACCGATTCTAGAGTGTACTCGCTTTTTGAGTACATAAAAATTATGATCTATCACATCCCACCATTTTAAAGTAACTGTTAAAAAATCATATTACATTATTGAAACAAAAATGAAAACATACAGATAATCCAAAGAGATAAAATAATCTTCAACAATATATGCCTTCTTTTAAATGACATGTTGCGAAAATTAACATTTCACAGGTCGAGAAACACGAGTCATTTCCGGCTGGAAAAGTCGGGAAAATGGTAGGAACATCAAAGCTGAAAATCAGTGGTTGACTCCACCCAATTACAATGGGTTAAGATCAAAGCAAAAAAATCCGGTCACTTGGTCCGGTTACCAGATTCCTGCCATTTTAACGAGTTTTTCGGTGGAAATCTGCCAGAAACTAACGGGTCCGGAGCACTAAAATCATTGACCTGGCTAATATTAATACTAATGTAGTGTATCTAGGCAAGCGTGCTACATAAATTGGAAAAAATATCAAAGAACTTGAATGATTTATATTTGCTAACAGAGTTTTATAATTATTAATATTAGTGTTGCAATAAATTGAACGTTGTCTATGACATAGTGATGTATTTGTGTAATTTTTTTTCAAACAGCTGTACATTTGTGAAAAAAAGTTTGTTTGGGTTCAAACTTATATAGAATATTTATTATTCATGATATCTAGTCTCTCTTTGTAAAAGTCACTATTTTATATTCTTCTCTGAATGATTAGTTTCAAATATAAATGATATAAAATCATTATTAATTGAATCAATTTTCATCTACACTAGAGTAAAAGAATGTTTCACTTGAAGTCTTACTGTTTTTCAAAAAGTTCATAATTGTTTAATATTAAAATTTATTATAATTAATAGATGGATTATTTCACATAAATTCTAAACTACGAAATGAACACTCAATTGTGATAATATAACTTTTAGTTTCTATTGTTTCTTTCAAATATGAGAAATGATCACAAACTATTAAAATAATGACCTATCGTCAGATGTTTTGAAGTATTTTATAAGAATACTTTATATTGACGAGAAAAAAAATTTCCTAATGAGATGAAAGTAGAATTGATTATTGGGAATAGGTTAGCTATTTCCTGAGTTTTTCAAGAAGCTCTCTTGTCATTCACTTTATATAAAACATGACTTATGCAAAACAATACACACTAATTAGTGCTAAAAACTAGAAATTGTCAAGTATGATTTTCCTAACTTATTTAAAGCTCAGCGATTTGACATTTACTGAAATAGAATGTAAAAGATTCCCAGGAAACAAATAACTTGATTAAATACTATAACAATCATTATTAGAAAATTTCTTTTATAATGTTATGTACAGAAGAAACTATTGACTTCATAATTTATATCATTTCTGCCTATGTGGGTTATTTCAATGTAATTATTGGTTTGATGGGTAATATTATCAATATTTTTGTTTTCACTCAATTAAAACTATTTCGACGAAATCAATCAGCATTTTATCTTACATGTGCATCCATTGTTGATTCTTGTCAGCTAATCTTAGATATCGATTTAGTCTCTGATTTAACACGAATATCTCTTATTTGGTGTAAACTTCGAGCATATTTCTCTCAGTTCACACGAATTATTTCAACCACAATTATTTGTTTTGCTGCTATTGATCAATATTTATCGACCAATTATCATGTTCAATTAAGACAAATGAGTACATTCAAATCAGCTCAATTTCTTATTAGTATTCTTATTATATTTTCATTTCTATATTGTATTCCTTTTTTGATATTTCATGAAACTCGTCAATATTCGGATTGTGCAACATTCCATCGAATATTCAATTATTTTTATTCATTTGCTCATTACTTTANAATTATCATGTTCAATTAAGACAAATGAGTACATTCAAATCAGCTCAATTTCTTATTAGTATTCTTATTATATTTTCATTTCTATATTGTATTCCTTTTTTGATATTTCATGAAACTCGTCAATATTCGGATTGTGCAACATTCCATCGAATATTCAATTATTTTTATTCATTTGCTCATTACTTTATGTTACTTGGTATCTTACCAATCTTTATTTCATCATTATTTAGTGTACTTGCTTATCGAAATGTACGTCGTATAATTAGACGTCAAATGGCAATAGTTCGTCGACGTCTTGATCGTCAATTAACTGCAATGATTCTCCTACGTGTTGCTTTGTTTGTGATTACAAATTTACCTTATACTAGTTATGAAATATATGAACTCAATAATTCGGTTGTTCACGATCATACATATAGTGTACTAATTAATGAATTAATCGAAATTATTTCAATTACAATCCTCAAAATTAATTATTCGGTATTTTGATATTGATTTTGTATTAATCATTAGATTTTTTTTTTGTTTATTTTTTGTAGGGCAGCTTTTTTGTCTTTTTAATATCATCAAATCGATTTCGTCGACAAGTAAAATATATTTTTTATCAAAAAGTCAAATGCAAATGTCTGCCAATAAGAATGAATAGAAATCAAGTTATACCTGGAAATCAGTTACAAATTGTAGGTTGTGCTCGAGCACGCATACCAGTTAATTCATAAACTTGAGGCGATGATTATATTAACCTTGTAAAAGTCGATGGTATTAATAAATCATCAAACAGCATATGACAACGACAACGTTGTAAAACTCTATGAACTTAAAGTTTATTGTGTATTTCGAAAAATAAAATTGTTCCATAAGTACTATGTTTAATTTTTCATTTATTCATTAAATTCAATACTTTATAGAGACTTATTCAATATAGTGTCTGTGATTGTGTATGAAAAACGTGTGCTACGGCTTACGCGAGGAAGGAGTTCAGATTTTCACTTCTATTCTTCAACATTCCTTTTAGGGCAAGGGTATATATTCGTACGAATTCTGTAATTGTAACGGGCAAGTATTAGTCGAAAAAGAAAACAAACGTTCATAAATTAAACGATGAATGAACTCAAAATTCATCAGAAGATCATTTACATTCAGATGTTCTAATTAGTTATCATGTATATAGATTTGTTTTCATACTTGTCATTCAAGCATTATAATTCTTATCAACTGAATGCTTCTGTCGTAACGAGATTAGAACAGCTAGATGATTTCTTTCAGTCAAATAAATCCTTTTGTGTCAAAATTATGCTTTTCGTTCAATTTATATTGTTTTCATTATATTTTCTTTTTCGCTAAAAATATTTAATGTGTATGTTAATGCTGAAAAAAAGTTTTTTGATAATCATTCTTTATTAGACATTAAAAAAATAAAAGGTATTTAGAACAATGTTGTATATACAAACGCTTCAATATTATACGACAATGCCTAACGGCGACTAGACACATAACCCTAAATCAATAGAAAAAAAACGATGTCTCGTTGAGTAAACACAACGAACACTGAAGTATCGAGGTAGAAAGTTCGACTATCAGCTAGCTTTGGATATTGCCTGAGTCATTGACTTCATACGAATATTTACATTCAAATTGGCTCAATATCTTATTGATATTCTTATCATATTTTGACAATTATATAGTATTTCATGTTTTATATTTATTTGTTCATTACCATATATTAGTTTATATCTTACCAATCTTTATGTTGTCATGATACTGTTTTCTTGCTTATCAAAATGTGCGTCATTTAGTACACTGTTAAGTGCAAAAAGTATAGCACGATTTCGACCAATTAATAATTCTCGTACGATTTATTTTGTTGATCATTACAAGTTGAACACAAACTTAGATTTCATCATAATTTTTTACACCACCAATTCAGTTCCGTCAACAAATGAAAGCTTTATTCTTTAAAAAACCAACAATCTAACATAGATATTTGTCGAACAAGTATCAAACATGACAGTTGACTGATATAATTTAATACTTTTGCATTTGAGTGTTCTAAAATATAAATATATAGATGAAGAGTTATGTGTACATGTTGAAGTTGCTGTTTCTATGTCTACAACAAGCTCCGCCATGTGGTTAACACATTTTTCGTTCACACGTATGCAAAATGCGGAAAAACAAACGATACTATATGTATGAGACACTTTGAAAAAGAAAATGGACTAGCTGCGGATATTTAATAGAAACCAACATTTGACATTAGTAGTAGTGCTTGGTTTAACATTTCTTATTTTTTGTTATTTTCTAATGAGATTTTTACTGAAAGGCAATACATAACTCTTTTAAATACATATCGAGATTTCTAGTAAAAATTCGTTCGATTAAAAAAATAAAATATAAACATTGAGAATTCTTTTAATAGATCAATGTTGATGTACTTCATTGGTATAAAATATTAATTTCAATGTTATTAGAATATTTTTAATGTTACACGAACAAATAATTATCAATCGGTCTGATTTCAATAACGAAAAATGAATGATATTTCTACCAGATAACATTCTATTGTTTGATAAGTTCTAATTGAAATACAATTCATTTATAAAATTTAGAATCATAATATAAATTGAAAATAATCGAAATTCCTGTTAAGAAATTTAATGAGATTGAATAAAGATTTTTTTTTCTTTTTGTTTAGAACATAATTCTTGGTTTCATGTTTCAGATGTTAATTTTGATAATTAATCATGAATACAATTGTTACAAAACACGATTGTTCTCAATTATGTCCAAGTAAGTTTTAAAAAAGAAAGAAATCCACTAATTTCAATACTAAGATTTAAACAAGCAACAAGTTCTTTCCGTTCATTACATCTTGAAACATCATTAAAACTCTTTCATACATTGAATTTCTATTCATATCACAATCTTTTATTCCAAAATCAATCATTTATATCTACATTTATTAAGAAAATTTCATGTATCGTTTATTTCTTTTTCGGAGAATATTTACTTAATGATATAAATAAACTCATGTCATATGTAGTAACATATTTAATTATTCAATCACAAAAGAAAACAGAAAATTATCAAGCATATATGGTTATTATAAATAGTCAATAGTAAGATGATTTTCATCTAGCTTTTTCTTGTTTTAAGAACAACAACAACTAAAAGAAAAAATAGAAATTTACAATTATACAATTAAAAAATGATCTTAAGATAATTCTCTTACCGATAATAATTATGATAATAACAGCAACAACAGAACCAAGAATAATCGTCATCTACAAAAAAAAAAAAAAGAAAATATTCAAAATACGAAAATAATCTCGTCTATCAATAAAAACAAAGAACACTTTACTCGACAACTTTTCCACCAAAATTTCTTTTTAAGTTTTTGTGAATGAATAGCAAATTGTCGAGAGCCTTCATTTAACACGTCTATATTAATATAAAATATAATTTTCATTATATTCTTTTTCACTAATAAATTTATTACCTGATTTGTATTCAAGATCATCAAGTTTTCCACTTCGTTCTAATTCTAATTCAATATTTTTTTTCATAACTCCTGTAACCTAATTGAAAAAAAAAATATTATTAAATATAAAATAATAAACATGTTCATATTTTATCTATACCTCATCAACTTGCCCTTGTAAATTTTGAAGACGTGATGGTGGTGTATAACGAACACTGTTCGATTGATAACCTGGATTAGACATACTCACAGCCCTTTACGTATAAAAAAAAGACAGATATTTTTTCGTACTACTAAAATATTATTATTTTTACATAGTGTATTGTTTTACACAAGACAAACTTCTAAATAAAAAAGAGAAAAAGAGAGAGTTTTATGTTTGTTTGCTGATTAATCATAAGATTTTTATCAGTATATGATATGATATTTATTATCTTGAGTGACGAACACAACAAAAAGAAAAAAGAATGAAACCATTGATTGTTGTTGTTGGTGCAACTGGTCGACAAGGTGGAAGTGTAATCGATGCATTAATTAATTCAAATAAATGGACAATACGTGGTCTGTCACGAAATATTACATCGGAAGATAGTCAAGTAGAATTTATCAAAAAAAAGAGAATAATTAGTTTTTTTCTATTATTTAATTTAAATTTAGAAATTAATTGCAAAAGGCGTTGAAATGGTATCGTGCAATATAGATTCTTTAGATGAATGTTTAGAAGCATTTAAAGAATCATATGGTGTTTTTGCTATGACTAATTTTTGGGAATGTGGTGCAACAAAAGAATACGAACAAGGTATGAATATGGTCAATGCAGCACGACAACAAGGTGTAAAACATTTTATTTGGAGTAGTTTACCTGATACAATGGCTATTTCTAATGGGCAACTTGATTTACCACATTATATGTAAGTGAAACGATTGTATAGTTTAGATTATTGTTTATTGATAGATTTCTTAGCAAAAGAAAAATACGTATTTAGTTTTGGCTCAATTCTGGACTATTAGTTTTGAATTATGTGTAGCATATCAATGGTATTTAAATTAAAATAACATTATTATATTTTATATTTTAATGTAATAGCAGTTCTCTCCAAAACATTTTGCTAGAAAAATTAATAAGCTGTAGAACATTTTATGAACTCCAAGGCAGAATAAATTGGATCTCATGAAGAAAAGTTTTCCATTTACATTTCATGAAGTTTTTAATCAATAGCTGTTAGCGCAGTCCTTTACGAGATTGAAATATAAAAACATGATGTAGCTGCTCTTGCTAAGCACAGAGAGATTGTTTTATACTATCTATATTGAGATATATTTTTTCATCATTCTTTTACTTAATCCTTCAGAAATGTAATCTATAATGCGGAGAAGTCTTGCTCAGTTGTCTTTGATAGTCTCTGACTAGAGTCTACCAGGATCATAGAAACCGTTCGAAAGCCACCGGTTAACTGCAATTCGTCTACTTGATTTGTTTTTATATTTCATTACATGAATATATTTAAATTCAAGTATTTTGTCATTGCTTTCATGTATATGGAGAACATTCGGACAATTCAAAACTTATCAAGACCTATTTATGGCCTTTTTGTAAACAGATTCAAAGTAAAATTATCGTTTTATAAGTATTATTTGGTTCACAGATAAGATTTTCTTGTATTTTAATATAACTCTTGGGATGATCAACACAATAAAATGATAATAAAAAAAAAGTTTAATTTAAATGATTCTTATAGGATGAAAGCTCGTATTGAATCTTATATTCGTACTCAACAAGATCCACCATTATTTCCTTATACAACATTTATTTATGTTGGTTTTTATTATCAAAATTTTCAAACATTTTTTCAACCAACACCTGATTTTGAATTTCGTGTTTTACTTCAACCAACTGCTCGTCTTCCTCTTTATGATGTTCATGATACAGGTCCTGTTGTTGTACAATGTTTCGAACATCCTGATCTATGGGGACAAGGAAATATTGTTCCAATCGTTGCTCAACGATTAACAATGGATGAAATATGTGAAACAATTCGATGTGTTACAGGAAATAAAAAAATTCGATATACACCATTAACATATGATCAATGTGTTGGACAAACAAAAGAAACACTTGATAATATGAGATGGTATAATGAATATGGAGATATTGAAGAAAGACATGCAGAAAAAACAAAACAAGTTTATAATCAAATGAAAACATTAGCAGAATGGATAAAAGAAACAAAATGGTTGATGAATGAAAAAAATGAACAATAATATGAATCGATTATTTCTAACTTCCTTGATTGGAAGGTTTTTCAATATTTTCTTCATCATTATCATCATCTTCTTCGTCGTCGTCGTCTTCTTCTCCTTCTTCTTCGTTCTCTTCCTCGTCTTCTTCTTCTTCTTCGTCTTCATCTTCATCTAAAACGAAATAAGTTAATAAATAGATAATTTAATAAATAAAACAAACCTTCATCACTTTCATCGTCTTCCTCTTCCTCTTCATCTCTTGGTGCTCGATCTTCAATAGTTTTTCCACCAAACGTAAAATTTCGACTACCTTCACCACGTGTAAAATAATCACAACCACTATTCAGACCTAAACCATCATCACCATCATCACCTTCATCATCTTCATAATCATTTTGAAGTTTTCTACCATAACCATAAGCACGAGCTTACAAAAATATAAAAATAAAAATATATTTTAAGAAAATTTTTAAAAATTCTTTACTTGACATTGATAAATCTTTCGTTTCTTTTGTTGGAAAATTACATTTAGGACATGGAAATGCTTCACCTTGAGCATATTTAAAACCACGTCGCTTAATATGATCGTCACAATAACATACTTTACATCTGTTAAGTGATTTAAAAAAAAAAAAAAAGAATTTTTTTTTTCTAAAATTTAAACTTTTACCTTAAACATGACCATTGACCATGTCTACTACAAGATGCACCTAAATATTTAGAAAAAAATATGACTATTAATAAATATCAAAGTCTATAAAGTGAAATTGATTAGTTATAATTCGGAATAAATTCAGAAGATATTCTCGATCATGCATAGAAAGGAATAGTACACCAATACAATTGTTATCAATCGAACAAGAGACTTGAATACATTAAAATAACAAAGTTCGAAACTTTCTGTATCATTATATGCCGAAAGTGAGTGCAAAAAATTCAACACAATTGTAGGTTTAATAAAATATTTCTGATGTAAGACTAATCGGAAAAATGTTTGACCCCCTGGAAGAGTTTCCTTTCGGAAATGGTATTTCTTTTCGGGCTCTACTGAAACTTTGAGAAGAATGGTACTTTAGGAAATGAAGGTTTCCACTATTAATCATAAAAAAACAAGATTCGATTATTACATATTATAAAAAATTAAATATTTTATAACATATGTTTATATTTCATAATTAAAATTCTTACATTTATAATTTTCTGATTCTAATACTTGACATGATGCTTGATGTTCAAATTGATCATCTTCACAAAGAAATTGATCACAAAATGAACATTGAAAAACTCGTCCACCTATTTCAAGAAATCAACAAAGAATATATTCTATTTGAATAAATTATAGATTTACCTTGTTCCCAAACACTTCGATTACATTCAATACAATCACCATTTTGTAATGGACATTGACATGGATGTGTTGTTAAACATTTTTTTGAATGACATATCCATGCTTCACAATAATCACAAATACCTCCCTAAAAACAAATCAATATATAAACGAGAATTGAGTTTAATGAGCTTACTACCTTACCACTAATTGAAGACCTGTAGCATGCACATTTCCATGTTTAACAAGACAATCACCTGTTTTCGATAGACATTTTTGTTTTCCTAAAATAAATTAATTTATATTAATCAAATTAATTCATTTATCTAAAATGCATACCACATTGTGCACATACAGGCAATGCTTGTAATGCTTGACAAAAATAACAGAATGCACGATTTTTCTGTTGTTTTTTGCATTTATCACAATCCTTTGAATGAAAATAAAAATTGATAAATAAATTCAATTTTCATCTGTTAAAAAGTTTTTTTTTCTAATGTTTCTTCGCATTTATATACAAACCATAAGAAAATTACAAGGCCATTCAACTAATTGTTTATGATAAAAAGCTGATTGTAATAATTTCTGTCGTTCTTTTTGTTTTTCAGCTTTTTTACGTTGTCCTGTTTTGCGTTTCGGCATTATGTCTGAAATAAAACTACATTATATCGCAATATATGATTTTTTGAAAAGTTAACGATTTATTCAATTTAAGTATTCATATGGTTCTTTGCCTATATCAAAAGCCAGTCTAGTTAAAAACTCGATCAAGTTAATGTAAATTATTGGTTGCATAATATAATCAATCAAGTTGTACACTTTTTAAGTACTCATATTCATTTGATTATTTAATTACATTTTAAATTTAACTGTATGAAAAACAATGATATTTTAAAAACCGATAAAATCGAGAGAAACATCCTTGAGAGGACGCCACAAGTAAAAAAAACCTTGCTTTTTCGTCATTTAAATTCACCTAATGAAAACAACAATTTTTGGGAAACTAAATCTTCTTAATTAAGTTTTCCATGACTAAAAGTAATACACTTTCGACAGCTACCACGTCGATCCTGCATCCATGTGTTTATCTATCGATACAAAAAACATTTAATAGAGTTCAAAAGAGAATCATTTTTTTCTATATCGTAATACTAAAATAAATGTTTCCTAATCCGAAAATTTTAGAAACAAAGATATAAAATGTAATATGTACTAATTAACATGACGAGTGAATTTTTATTTTTTATTTCATATAAAGGATCATTTTATACATAAATTTTGATCGTTGCATGCGATGCTAAAAATACCAGAATATTATTAACATTGAAAGTCTTCTGTTGAAATAGTTTGAAATCCATCATCCATAGTTGTAATCGATAATTTTTTTCATGATCTTTTGGACAAGCTAGAAGAGATGGATTCAATTTTCTTGCCATATATCTTCAACACTTATCAACAACCATGTTGCACCAAAATAGTATACTAGGAAAACAGAAGCCTTGTGTAATTTTTGTAGTGATTCAGAGGTAGATATGATTTGTTATAAGATGAGAAAAGTAGAAAATGACTCATACCAATTCGATCTACAAATCTTATGAATTTTCTCTTTACATGAATAGAAGAAAACAGATCTGCCGAAGTTTTGAAATTTTTAGTAAAGAATCTCGAAATTTTATTCTATAGATTTATGAAAACATCATTAGTTCAATTCTATTTTTTTCGTATAATGATGACCACTATATTGTTGTTGACAAAAGAAAGCATAATATTAAATCTCTAAACATTTGACATGAAACATAAGATTATTAGAATTTTAATCAATTATCATCATCAGGAACGACAGTATTTATCTTTCGAACAATTATTTTCAAGTTTCACTGTGCATACTTTATAATTCGATCTGATCTTTTCGAGTTTTTATGCAATGAATTAGAACATTGTAGAAATGCTTATTTTAATTATTTTCACTGACGAACAATTGGCATGAATTATAATCAATTTTTATTTTGATACTAAATTATTTATGATTGTAGTTTACCATTTGCTTCGCACTAATGGATAGAACAAATACATTGATAATATCAATCGATGATATCTATTTATTGTTGATGAATAAACCAATAGAATAGACATAGAATATTTTGAAAATAAACAGAGAATAAAAGCACAGAAAATACATGAGAACTATAATTCCGATTTATTTTCATTCTAATTAAACTGACACAATTCTATTTCAATCTAAAAATACCATTATGTATATGTCCGGTTTATGATCTTCGTTCAAATATGAAACTATAATGAAAAGTCAATGAAGTCATCGTTTCCTGTCTAGGAAATTTTGTATTTTTTTTTTTTGGGATAAGTCATATTGTTCTTTGTGTATATGCAATAACTATTTGCATGATTGTGATCCAATAGTTGTCTAATTATTCCTTTTTGTGTATGTATGGGAATGATACATTCAATATCAAACGAAAAAGCGATCCATAGCAGAGTTATAGCCGGTCAATCGATCATGAGTTCGATTGAACTGTATCAACAGTCGATTTTTATTGGTTTTTTTAATCAATTTTTATGGCACTGAAATTAACGTATTGTGCTCATTTTTTATTGATGTCCATAACTTTAAAGATCCCAAAAACCTGGTTATACGTGTTGGTTTAGGTAAATCTTCTTTTTATTCACACCTACACTCTTTTGAACTATCAAACACATTCTTCTCCAGTCTATTTTGTGCATATAAAAAAATTCTTATTCGTCTATTAAAAGTAGCAATACAAACACTGTTTCTTCCAACTTTGAAATGATGTTGTTGTAAAAGTAATAGATATTGAATCGAGTCCATTGCCTTCTTCATCCAATGATTGTTGACATTCTGTTCGAACAAGACCACTTCGTTCTATCATCCAATATGTCGATGTTCGAAAGTCTGTGTACTCACTTCTCTTTGACCATTGTCGTTGTTCCCAATCACATGCATGTAAATGAAATTTTACAACTTTTAGTAAATATTTAGATAAGAAATATTGCCATTTTTGACAATCAATTAGTGTTATTGGAGACGATGTGATAAGAAATGATTTTAAATTCGGTGTTCGTTTAAAAATTGATTCGAGATATGCAAATGAAAATTCCCAATTAAAATGTACCGCAAGATTAGTTAAAAAATCGACTGTCAGTTTGTCATTGGGAAAATCCTGCTGTGTTGGATTATCATAAATCGTTGCAGTCAATGATTTTACTTGGGGTAAGAATAATGGTGATAAAATACAATCGAATTCATCGAAATAGAGTTGATAGATATCCAAATATTCAATGTTCGTTGTTATTGGTTGATTAAATAATGGGACATTATGTATTCTTTTACGTGAATCATTATGATCCATTATAATGAATTTCAATATTTTTAAGGTAGTACAAGAACGAAATATTATTTCATAGGTGTGTCGAAGGTCATCTACAGTTAATTTCGACCCAAATAAATCAAAAGTGATATTCAAGGACGTTAAATAAGGTAACAATGGTAATTGATCAATGATAATAGGAAGATCGGTAGATGAGATGATCAGTCGTAAGTTTAACGAACGTAATTGTCGAAATGATTTCAATGGATATTGAATGAAAAATTCTTGTTTTTCGTGTTGACCTCCGTGTTCGAACGTCATAAATTTTAGTGATTTTACGCATAATATTTGCTGTTCATTTAATTTTGTAACTAGTATATATTTTGTTGAGGATAAATCTAAGTATATATTTGATAATTGAGCTAAATAGCCATCGATTCGCTGATTTAAATGAGCAAACGTATTATATAATTCAGTAAAATGGAAAAAATCGAATAGTTCAAAAAATAGTTCAGCTGAAAGATCTTCAAAAACAGTTTTACGATTAAATAATGGCATATCAGCAACGTATTATGTTTTTCTCGACGAGTAGAAGAATGGATAAAACTATCGAAGCAACGCTTAGTTTTTATGGGCGTGTGTCAATACACTAAGACAGGGGCCAACATTGGTATATCATGTTCGATTTTTTTTTTCTTCGATTCTGTCATAAAAAAGTTACTCTATTGCATTTGTATATCTGTAGTCGATTCTCACATTCTTTTTCTGCAGTGTGCCATAGGTTAACAACAAAGGACAGAAGAGCGAAAAAAAGTAACGAAAAAAATAAAAAGAATGTTGTCAATAACACTTTTCTTCGTATGAATCATCGATTAAGTTCATCTGTCTTACATTGCCGTCAACAAAAACTCATCGATGAGAAGCTATCACAAACACCAATACAATGCAATATATATATAGACATCCAATCAAAACACAATCCACACTTTACTTCTGTTTTTTTAGTTTTTACTGAAAAAAAAGACGAGAAATCATTTTGTATATTTGAAGGTTTTTGACATGTCACTTTTCCAGAAATGTGCCATCTTGTTTATTACTCAGTCTATCTGCAATCTGAATAATTCAAATCGAGTCTTTTGTTATGACATTTTTCTGGTAAATCTCTGTAGTGCTTGGGAAAGCTGTTGTTTATAAATTATCGAGGGAAGAATGAATACAACTAATGTTAGTACACTTGGCAGATAAGCAACATAGTATCCTGTGATCATTAGATAGGGTGGCGAACGTCCGGTTAATTTCATGCATGTTGTTAGAAATGCGATAATTAGTCGTGGAATTGCAAATAGTGCCAATAGGATCGGACTGATGAGCAAGTGCTTATTCTGTTGCAATTTTTTCCAATATATTTGCTGGTAGCGATTGCTTGTTCTTGCTCGAAGTTGAGCTGTAAGAATGATAATAATGATAGATGAGAGAAGATTGATGCTGAATGGTGCCAAATAATGGATCGTTGTAATCGTTGAATCGTAGGCTTTGAGCCAATTTGATGAAAATGATACAACACACCATGTTCGCTGTTCGAATTCATCGTATAATAAATAACGATGGAACGGATCATGAATGTACATGGCAATGCTGAGTAGAAGAATCAGTCCTGTAACATATTTTGCTATTTGATGACTCAATGCTTTTCTATATCGAACACCAAAATAGACAATTGAAACATTTTCCATAGAGGCACAAGCTTGCAACCAATTATTGACAATGGGAAAAACTTTAAGAAGAAATTGATTGATGAGACAACCTTGATAGGAAGCCAACTGATACATTTGTTGGAACAGTAATCGCAGAAACTCTGTCAAACAAACAGAGATGTTCAATAAGCAAACGATTGATAGACATAGCAAGTAGATGCCTCGTCCGGTTGATCGAATTGGTGGTTGACTAAAAGTGATCAAACAAAAACCAACGTCGATGAGACCCAACGTAAAAACAACAGTAGCCATTGTGAAACTCATGAGAACACTACTGGATTGTTGATGAAGTCCGACATGGGGTTTAATAAACGGTCCGAGAATAGCTTCCAAAGAGAGTGAGTAAGGTCTGGCAGAGAATTGACAGAGACGACCGAATGTGCATTCGTGACATACACAGATACTGGTCTTTGGACATCGTTTTTCGTCCTGAATGCATGTGCCCTCATTTTCACAGGGATTTGCAAACGTTGGACATCTAGCAGTACTATTAGCAATGACGAATGGAATGCAATCGATTTGATTGAATTGATTACATAGACAAATGTGAATCTCGTCATAGAAACATTGAACTCGAGTGGTGATATTTCGGCAAGAACGCTGATAAAACTTTACTCGACGTAGATAGGGCAATTGAGCAAATGTCGGATCAAAAATTTCGTCGATTATAGGGCATTTATTGGTATCTGTTACTGTGACATTAAGTCGATCATACAACAGTTGTGTATCGCCACCATTGAGGAAGACCATGTGTAACGGATTGGTATTTCTGTTGTCAAACAATTGAACGAGAACGATGCTCGATATGAATTCTTCCGGGTAGAAGGCAACTACTTTATTTTGTTGAAAACCGATTCTTCGAAAGTAGGAACGACTCTGTTTCTCGGTAGTATTAGATAAGGAGATAAAATGTACGAGAATCGCGTCTGGAACTGGAATATTGGAAGCAAAATGCACGTCTAAACTCGACGCATTGTATTGGCATTGCTCACCAAAATGACGTTCATCACAAACACATCTCCACTGTTTCGCTCGAACATCCGATGGTACACAAACACCACGTCCCCTACACGAACTGTTCTGACAAGGATCAAATTGTACATAGCATCGAGATCCAATCTTGTTTATCAGACAAATACAAATTTGAGGAGCAATACAAAGTGATTCTGGAGCACAGTCACATTTTTCAGAGCTTTGACGATCGCACAGACTTCCAAACCAAGACGGTTCACAGTGACAGAAAGGATGTTGCAACTGATTCAAATATAATTCACATGTGCCATGAACACATGGCAAATGAGCACATTTGGTAAAGATCTTCGTATTGCTGTTTTCCAATAGAGAGAGTTGAGCGGCCAGACGATTCACGGGAAGAAAGTCAAATTTGATTGGAAAAAAATAAGAGCCTCGATATTCAATTTGCTGATTATGTTGAGTTAAACGATAGATGCCGATACGAACATGGTGTTCATCTGTAGTTTGCCAAGACAACGGATAAAGTAAATCAACAATATACTTAGGTAGACATTGGATGGAAGGCAAGTAGATTATTTCCGTAGAATAGGTAATATTGCCAGATGATGCTTGAACGAGAGAAACAAGTAATTTGAAGACACTGGTCTGTTCGATCATAGTATGTGCTCGAAGTTCAAGAATGACGGTCAATCGCTTTCTCTGATATTGACATCGATTACCGTAATAGGCTGGTGGACAGAGACATTTGAATTCTTTGTTATCGATTGTTGATTCGACCAAAATACCTCGGTTACAATACCAATTAAGGGTAATATTTCTCAACGATCGAGTTTGAACACTTTGTTGAAGAATTGGTTCGAAATCAAGGAGATTCATCGATGTAAATGTGCGCATTTCACTCTGATCAATCAGATCACATAGCCATTCGTCTTTGGCATTGATACAATGTGCTATACCATCGCAACGCTGGTTTCGAAGGACATTATAAGGTTTCATAGAAAAATCAACACTGCAAGGAAATTTTGTTTCTAAACACCTGCCATTGCTCCACAGGCATAACGGTTGATTCTCGTCATCATTCAATGGACAATCTGAATGGCAATCACAAATTTGCAATGGACTAATGCATATCGAGGCATTCAAACCTATGAAATAAGAATATTTCTGAAGAACTGAATCAACATGAAAATTATGTAATCGAACTCCTTCGACATATACAAAGTTTTTCTGCATAAAATATTTCAGATTGATGAACGAGTTCATCGACATGACTTACATAATATGTATTCATCATCTCGCAAACATGTTGACTTACATTTATAACGCCGAGCATAATCAAATGGATGACGCTTGCGACAGAATTCGCGTTCATCACTTGAACCAAGACAGTTGACTTCCGCATCGTTGATCTTCTGCACTGATGCGCAATATTCAATCATATGATTGATCGATTGTAGACAGAAAAATTCAGCTCTTTGCACATCACAGTAGGTAGATGACAACGTATTGTCACAGAAAAGTTCATCACGTCCATCCACACAATTCCAAACACCGTTACAACGTGTGTAACGTGTCACACAAGGATAATCATCACAATCAGTCTCATCTGTATCATCTCCATTGAATTTCGGTCGCGTTTCTTGTATACCGTTGCATATGATAGCAAATGTGGTTTCTTTATTTATTTCATGACGCCCAGCAAGAATGTCGCAATTCTCACTAGGTGACTTGGTGCATCTAAAACCTAGAGCTTCATCTGAACCATCTGCACATTGTTGTGTATAGTCCATAAGAAATCGACGTGGTAGACATCGTTGATCAGTACTACAATGGAATCGATGCGGCAATGGATCGCACATAGCATTGAAAATTTCATCTACACCCATAAAACAGTCAATCGAACCATCTTGCACTCGATGACGAGAGATGCATTTGGACGAATTCAAACAGTGGAATAATGATGTATGATTACATGATGAATCATTGCTGGATAGTAATCCTATAACATAAAATCAAACCAAAAGAAAATATGTCATCTATGTATATCAGCGTTCATTTCCTCTATGGCACGTACTCTTAAAAGCATTATGTTGTCCGATTAGACGACTTAAAATCTCACAATAATGCATGAATCAAAAACGAAGAATTCCGCTCAATTCGGACATATTAATATTTGCAAGACAGGAAAAGAAAGATTTTGATTTCGCTCTCAGATCACTGTGAAAGCATCTAAAACGGTCAGTTTCTTTAGAATAGTTCATGCTGTTACTTCGTCAAGAATTTCATGCGGAACCTTTCAATATAAAACAGTCCTTCAATCAATTAGGACATGAAATAGTAGGAAAAAATTAATAATTCTGAAAGGCATGACAAAATGATAACATCTGATCGGCTATGTCTATTCTTGAAGACAAAGTGGATGGTGCTATGACTTTTGCTATGGAACGAGTTTTCTGAATTATGAATAGTTCATAGTAAGAAAATTGTTAACTACTCGATATATTTCTACCTGGTAAAGCGCATCGTCCGAAGATGATATAGAGAGCTATGTAAATGTCTCTCCAGTTTGTTGAATTGCCCAGATCATATAATTCTTTGAATTGTTTCACGGTTGAACACGATCGATCATCTATGTTGACTGTCGTTTGATACTGTGAACATCGTTTTGAGTCGAAACAAATCAACGATGGGATATAATTTCTGAACCAGAACATCGTTCGATTGAGTTCATAAATAAAGAACACATGATTATCAAATATAGGTCTCAGTGGAAAAATAACATGAGAACGGTGGGCACACACACTCGATATTTGATTGCTACATTGAAACTGTGAAATACATTTTCTCTTGCATTCATTCCAAAACAAATGAAACTTCAATGTACACTTGATGTGTTCAAAACATTCGTCGTCGGATGAGAACAGTTCTCGAGTATAGAGCAGATCTCGACCATTGCCACAAGCAATGCTACTGAGACTTGATACTGATTGAATTATGTCTACGTTACTCATCTCTCGACACTGCCCATCACCACAAGTGAATGTCATTGTTACGCCATAGATCTGATGATTGAAATATGAATCGCAGATGCTGTCTTCACAGTACCATAGCATATCAATATGACAGAACTCTATACCTTGACTCGTTTCATCACTTTTATCTAGGCAATCAGGTATACGATCAAAGAAGAACTCTTGCGGAATACAATGACCATTTTGACATCGATATTCTGTCAATGAGTCACATTCATTCATCTCCAATTCATGACAACGTTCTTCGTCTTGACCATCGGGACATTGGATATATCCTGTGAAAGAAAATGAATTCGATTTTACCAAACAACATCGAAGATAGAACTGAAAGATTTGTGTTACGTATGATAAGAAGACTTACCATCACAGACTTCTCTCCAATCTAAACAGACGATACTTCCTTGACACTGAAGTCCTTCATAACAAGTTCCATTGGTAATCAGAAGTACATCCGATGGTTGATGGAATCGTTTCCAAAAGAAAGCTGCATTTACTATTTCCATGAATTCATCATTTAGTAAAAAACGATATTCACAAGCATCACCAAATGACGGCGGTTCACATTGGTAATAGAGTTGTTCGCCTGAGATTGGACTGCTCCTATTCAATCGACGATGAAGCGTATAGATTTCATAATCTTCGATGGTATCAAGAGAAACCCGTTGAAAGAAAAGTTCTGAACTGGTTCGATTCCGTTCATAAAGTGACGCAAATGATTCACCATGTATTGGATGTGTCATGGAAACGTGCATCGCTCGGAAACAATACGGAACATAGGTATGAACACGATCAAAGGTTAAAACCGAAAAATACTGACAATGGGATTCAACACTATCTGTTAGCCATTGTCGATTTTTAGTTCTGTAGATCAATTCGGGGTATATTGGCTCAGTTCGACAGATACTTAGGATGATGAATAACACGAGAAGAGTGAACATAGTACGGGAATACATAAATATGTCGGATGAGTACTGATGTTTTATAACAGGATGAAATTCTTCGACAGATGGGTATAATTCATGAATATGAAATGAATGATTGACACTTACTATTTGCCTCTGTCAAGATAAAGTTTATTAAAGTGCACTCTATCAATGACTATAGAATATCAAAGAACTGAGTACAATTAGTTATGAATCAATTGATATGATAAGAGAAACACATAAGCAATAATTTCCAAACTCTAGCGTCTTGATTTGAACTTCTGTTTGATTTAGATGGCACACATCTTCTTCTAATCATCAGTCGAAATTAGCAGAATCATATATGTTTTCATACGACAAACGACAATAAATATGTTTTTTTAACAGTGTTACTGCACTTAATTGGTAAAGATGTTGTATACATAAATGAATACTCTGTTTCTTGCAGTCGATTCACGTAGTCACCATCAATGAAAGCGTATTAATTGATTCTAAAGTGTTAACAGACTCGGACAAGTGATCCATCGAAATGTATTCAGCATCAAGGAGAACATAAATGAAAATGAAAACAAACGAAACATAATTGGAGCGACATATTTGCTTTTATTAACTTTTTTTAAAAGTGTATTTGTTATTTATTGGAGTTGCGACAAGACTTTCAACATTCATCTCTTGTATTTGGTACGGCAGTTGAAAAGGGTGTGAATGTGAATTCGAGTATGAATATTGGTTTTGATAAGGAGCAGTCTCATAGACACAACTTATGTTCACACACACACTCTCCAAGAAGTTAAAAGTAGGAAGAGAGCGAACCTATTTATGCTATTTAGATAAAGACAGTTAATGTCTCTTATTTGAAACCCGTATCAACAAAACCTAAGGTTAAAGAAATATGCCAAAATTTGTCTGTATTTAATTTCGAATCTCGAAACAAGAAGTTTTCATCTACTTTACTGGAAAAAAGTCTATGGCCCATGCCCCGCCCACACCCTGCTTAATATTCAAACGGACATTCTATTGTTAAACTGAAGACTGATCTTGTTTCATTCATTGTCCATCCCAGTTTGAAGGGATATGGCTCTTCGTTAGACAAAGAGTAATTAGCTTATATATTCAATCAGACTTGTTGTATTGATTCCGGCAAGCGATACGACTCAGTACGGATTCGTAATTGACACTGCGTCTAATAATACAGCAATTGATTTGGTTTATCATCACAAATTCTCTCAGATTCCTATGCGCTACTTCATCATGAGACTCTCATGTAAATATCGCCGATAATATCGTTACTTGCTATCTAATAACAACGAACTTAATCCTGACAGTCTCGTTTAGTGCGATCAGTTTTAAGCAGAGAAAGCATATAAGCGAACTACAGTAACCAAACCACAGTTAGCAATGCTGCTTAGCTATGATTGGGTTATACAGTCAAATATTGCATGAGATGTTGGCTCTTGTCTTAAGTCATAGTACAATAGAATACAGTCCCGCTTGGGTTTTAAATATCAAGGTTTTATATTCTAAATGTACATTGAATCATGCAACAGATCTCACATTTGTTGACAAAACGAAAGAGGCTTAGATTGATTAATCAGCCATAATGCGAAACATTATGCAATGTTAAAATATTCTTTTATATTATTGAAGAAATACCTCTGACAGACTCATTGCTCGAATCAATATATATATCTTATCAATCGTATCAATAATAAAGCTGATATCGCAGCTAAATGCTAACAATAAAAAAGAGATTCTCTTGCAAATGTGACATATAGCTTAGAGTCATTCTATAAGCGTATGAGATGCTTTGAGACTTTTTATCTAAAATATGAATCATTGTAATTGGTATAGTTAATAAAAAAAGATATTGATGAAGAAAAAACAATATATTTATTCGATGATAAAAAAATCAGTCCATCATCATTGTTTACATTTTTTGTTCGATAGATCGCAAAATATAGAGTAGAATAAAAGGAGTTTCTAATAGGAAGCCTACTACATTATTGATTCAAGCACTAGAAGATATATTTAGCTTGTATGTTTGTTCATCCAATCGAGTACGTGCTCAAACCAAGCAACTGAATGCAGTGAGTTTAGTATCCAATGGTTTTCAGTAGGAAAATAGAGTAACCGACTTTCAATCCCACGACGCTGCAAAGCTGTAAAGGCGCCGATTCCTTGTGTTTCTGGTACACGATAGTCACGAGCACCAACAATTATCAACATTGGCTGAGTCCAATTTGCCACATAATTGACTGGATTATAAAGTTCATAAGCATCGGGATTTTCATATGGAGTGTAACCTCCTGCATCATGCTCAGTAAACCATAGCTCTTCTGTGGAATAACCCATAGCCCTCATATCAAACAAACCATTATGATTGACAAATGTTCTGAAACGACGACTCATTTCAGGTTGTCCAGCAAGCCAGTTGATCATATATCCACCATAGCTAGCGCCCAATGCTACGATTCGGTTCGGATCAATATCAGAAAAATTGCTCAGAGCATAATCAAGTCCCAACTTAAGATCTTCGTAAGGCAAAGAACCGTATTCACCTGTGATACTGTCTGTAAAATTTTGTCCGTACGAGTCAGAACCATGAAAGTTAATGGCAATGACAGCGTAACCTTGAGAAGAATAGGATTGAAAATTCCATCCAGAACCCCAACTATCGTACCAACTGCTTTGCGGACCACCATGAATAAGAAATGCAAGTGGAGCTGGCATGGGTGTGCCATTTACCGGTGGTACATGCCATCCCCAAACAGTATCACCCAGAGCACCCGTAAATGAAAATTTTTCAGCCTTAGTACTCATTATCACTTTAGACAATAGAGCATTGTTATGTTGAGTTAGGGGTCGCATCGGTGCATTCGAAGAATACAGATAGATATTGGTCGGACTGAGGATACTTCCATGAGTGAAGACAAATGTTTGATCGTCGGTCGGATGAGGATTAACAGCGCGCGAAGTACCATTATCAATAAGACGAACCACCGATTCATTCACAAATATATCAGATAAATGGTAGATAACATTACTTGCTTTTTCGCCGATTTCAAGATAAAGAGAGTTACCATCGAGAGACCATGTCACAGCTTGAATACTTTGATCCCAATCGTCGAGAAGAGTTCTTGTCGTATCCGATACTGAAATATGAAAGAAAAGAATGCATATTGAACTAAATGAACTTAACATGACTGACCATTGTACAGTTTTATTTTGTATTGATCAGACTCATACCCTGGAACTGACTGTGACCGATAGACCAATATACTATCATCTGTTGGCGAATAAGATGGATCGGTATCAGTTGCGTTATTATTGCATGTAATACATTCACTTTTTTGTCCAATTGTGTTCAGATCAAGTGTATATATATCTAAATTGGTTGACCAAGCTACTGCACTTGTTTCATCGTGTTGTCGAGTGAATGCAAACAGATTACCAGATGCACTAAATGACCATTGAGTTTGAGCATCACCGAAAGGCCTTGTTGGCGAATCACTGTCCCAATCTAAAAGTACATCAATTGGGTCCGATGAAAAGTTGAATATTTCATTGCTTTGTCGTCTGATTGAAACAACAAATGGATGATGTCGTGGACCTCTCTGGTATTCATCCCAATGTCGAATGAATAGCTTATCGAATTGATAAATCGAACGACCACTAGCTTTTTCTTCCGCTTGTCGAGCAACTGTTTCCACGATCGATAAGTTTTGATACACTTGGCAGCTAAATGCCAGACGTGATGCTTGTCGATTAACTAACAGATTATCAATATTTAATGGATAGTCTGTTATTTGAATCGGATCGATGGAAATATTTCTCGTTGATAAATCTGCAGGAAGATTAAGTTGAAAAATTTGACTAAGACCTGATGATGCTCGATTGGACAAAAAGAGAATCGTATTATTGTCTACCCAGAAAAACTGAAGTAAAGAAAAATAGTGTAAATAAAAGTACCAAATAGTTCTATTCTTACTTGTTGATCATGAATACCCCAAATGGGTCGTGTCAATTGAAGAGTCTTGTTTGTTTCCAAATCGAACCAATGCAATGTTGTTGTTGAACCACGTAAATCAGGCATATGAGATTGCCGTCTTAAATAGATTATGCTTCTTCCATCATGCGGATGAAATCGAGGTGATGAGAAACGATCCAAACGAAGATTGTCCGATTGATTAAAATTATGTGAATTTGTCAATGATTGATAATATTCACTGTTTGATTGATAATCATTAGTATTCGGTGCCGTTGTTGTAGGAGACGCCGTTCCTGTCATTGTAGTTGTAGAAGGCGCCGTTCCTGTCATGGTAGTTGTAGAAGGCGTCGTTCCTGTTGGTATTGAAGGCGTCGTTCCTGTTGGCATTGAAGGCGTCGTCTCTATCGGTACTGAGGGCGTCATTCCTCCCGTCGTTAAGAGTGTCGTTCCTCTCGTCGTTGAGGGTCCTGTTCCTGTCGTTACTAGGAATGTAGTTTCTGTGGTTACTGAAAGTGTTGTTGGGTCAGAACAATCATTGGAACGTCGAGTGATAACCACAACACAAGGTACTAGTACAATGATTGCACCCAAAAAGAAGGACGCAGCCAAAAAAATAACCTAAAATCAACAGTAGTTAAAACGAAAATTGAGTAGCAACTGTCGGAAAACTTAACCTTTTTGAGCATTGATTGCGATTGCAACTTGAAAGTCGACTTGTCACTGAAGGAACAAGTATGCCTACTCTTTTTATCCGTTCGTTTTATCGTATATACAGATAATTTATTGCCTTGTCACTTGAATTAATCATAAATTATCATGAAGTACAGTATATCATAGTTGTTATCATGATCCATAAATCTATTGCTCTTGGCAACTTGGTAAGACTATTAAAGAGCGATAGCAATACATCATTACGAATGACGAGTGCTTTAGAAATAGTTAAAAGAAATAAATTATTCGGACAATCTTTCTTTTTTGTTTTTTGATCTTTCGTTACTATGGACTTTACTGGAGTAATTCACGAACCACGAGTACTGTCTATTTCTTTTGTAAAAATTTGAAAGCGATATACTAACTGCAGATAGATAACTATACCGATGTACAAAAACGATTCAAAATTAGATTAAAATGGATTATTTTCGGATTAATAATCTATTACAATGACACTAATTTTATCTGATTTTTTGGGTGTCTTTTTTCACATGGATAACTCTCGAAGAAAGTGCATATACTGATTATTGAAACAATTTTAAAATAAATACACATTTCAAATCACTCAACATGTGTTGACATACTAAGTAGGTAGTTGTCAAGAAATGAATTTAAAATTCGAGACAAAGATGTGTATGTGAATTTCGAGTTGAAAAAGATCTACGATAAAAAAATAATTTATTATTGAACTTGTAGTTTCGTATTTGGTCACGGAAGTCGTTTCGTACTTTTCATGTAAAGTCACTGTACGTGTGTTTCTTACGGACAAGGAATGATACTGTATAATTTGTACAAAACATCTGATAGTGCCCGCTGGATACAAAATGGTTTCATATGTGCTGAAAGAAATCTACAGTATCTGGTTGATGCAATGAAATGTTTCGTAATCGTCTTACGAAACCCTTCATAGTTCCATAGAATGTAAGAGTGTATCGTACTTCAAACAAAAAGAAAACGTTTTCGTATATATTCTACAAGACTATCTGCGCAATCAAAATCTTCTGTACAAAATCATTTGCCTGAGTGATATGTCTAAATATTTCATGTAAACCAAATTCCCTAGACGATAGATAAACATGGTAACTTACTCGCTAAAATCGCCTGATATTTTCTAAAGAGAATGCGTTCTTTTGCTTATTCATCATCATCACTAACAACTGCAATGATTAACAGACAATGCAATCGGAAGTCATTACACTCAATATGCTGGTTTAAAGGAATTGTGAATGGAAAGTCGTTGCTATTGCCATCATTTTTCATCTCTTAGATCCAAAGGCATATATGCAAGAGTATAGCCTTCAGAATATCGTTCTAGGGGCTTAAATGTAAGAATGTGAGTTAAGAAATAGTACTTAGAGACTAGACATATTTATAAGGTCTTAAGTACCATTATAACGGGTTAACCAAAAAGAATAAGGGACGAGATATAGATACAATGAGTTAAACAGGAATAACAGATTAAGTATAGGATAGAGCGTTTAGGTATAGGGACAAGAGGTTATACATAGTTATAAAATGTGAAGTATAGTAAAAAAGGCTGAAGAATAGCAATAAGATTTGATATATGCAAATGAAGGCATAGGAATAACCAGAAGAAGTTATTGTTATCAGAGTACGGGTAAGTACGAAACTTTTATTACAGCAGTTCAGAAATGGTTTGATACGGAACTTCTTTTTGTACAAAACCAAAAAGAGCTACAGTTTGTATTCTTAAGAAGAATCGTTTTGGATTTCGTAAGAAATATTTTTGTCTTAGAATGTGCGCCCACAATCACAAGGGCATCTGCTACCATACATGCGCATACCCACACCTATATCTACAACCACAGTCAAATTCAGACCAAGTCATATCCATATCAGCACAGACAATCGCACACGCATTTACGGTCATACTCACTACCGCAGTCAATCTCACATCTATATAGGACACAATCTGCGCCCAAGACTATAGCCATAGCCACACCCTGAATCCTGTATCATCAACTAGACAATAATTTGTATTGCTTCGACATTTGAATTGATTGATAGTTATATCTTTCGATCTTTTTACATTGCTTCATAGCTATCGTTCGACATTTTTATGCGCGACACTTTAACTTTCGATATTTTTATTTTCTTTCAAAGTAGAAATGATCTCATATATACACCCACACACCACACGCAATGCACACCGCAGTCATAGTCAAATCAAAACCATGCCACTTCCACATATGCTAACACATCACACTAGAGCCGGTCGGGTCCAACTCGAACCCGAACTCCGGGTAGGGCCTGGATCCAAAAATTTAATTTTTATCGAGTCCGGACCTATAGCGATTTTTGATGCATATGAGAATATTTTTCAAAGTTTTACTGATCTTCAGTTTTCTCTGAAGAGCTAGTTGTTTTTGGTTGTTAGTGTTGAAAATAAATTGTTTGAGTTTAATAGAACACGTTGCTTTGGTCTCAAACACAGACGAGATCAGGTTCGGGTCCAAAATTTTTCTATTTACCGGGTTCGGGTCCGGTTCTGAAATTTTTTTAAAGACTGGTTATGGATCCAAGAAAAGCTCAACAAAGCGGGTTCGGGTACGAGTCCGGGTCCAAAAATGTTGTACCCGACGCTCTCTGATTAGGAGCATTCAGCAAAGCTGAAACTTTCACAATAACCCACTCTCATTGAGACTTCTCTCTATACAAAGTTTCAAGTCGAAATTTGCAAATGCGTTTTTCTCATGTTCCTGAGGGGGACCACGGTAGTGAGTTATTCCAATGGCTTAAAAACGTAATATCTCAACAACAACAGACTATGGACACAAACCCTTTTAGAGCTCTTACCTACCCTATGAGTCCTACCTATAGGCAAAATATGAGTCCAAACCGAGAGTATCACTTGGAGAGGTTCCCTCGTCAGTGTATCACAAAATTTAAGTTAACTTGAAATTTTTTTATAGTTCAACAAAAGAATTTACAAAAACTTTTAGCAATCATTACCCAGAATGAAAATTATGAACTTTCGACATAAAAGCAAATGATATTCGTTAACTAGAAAGCTATTAATTAGAATCCATCAATTGTGAATAGTACCTAGTAATTGGATCATATTCTTCTGTAAATATTAGTTATCAAAAATTGAACTAAATCTCTTATCGTAGATCAGACATCAAAGAAAAGATATGGGAGAAGAAATGGTCAGTAAAAATCGAGCAAATAGAATTCAGAGACATGTGACTGTCTAGACTCATCATTTATATTAGTTGTTTAATAGAAAAATAAAAACAGTATATTTTAACATTTTGAAAATTGAACATTCAAGTAGAAGGGAATCACAAAAATTGATCTTAGTGCCATGAAAAAAAACTGTTATGATAATGAATGTGATATCAATTGATATTTTTGTGTTCGTTTTTATTTAAAATGAAGAAAACGATACCAATACAGAATGAAACTAATCACAGTTTATCAAATCATTCTTGGTTTATGTGCTAAAAACAAATGTCGATTGTTCAATTGAATCTAATAATAAATTAAATAATTATAATGAATAAAATTTCTTAATTAATAAACACTTACTTGCATTTACTAAAATCCATTTCTGGATGAGTATCCATAAATCTAATAAACAAAACGAATAGAAGATATACGTGTCTTTTTTTTTTTCTTGATTCTTTTCATATGAAAAATAATAATTTACTTTTTAAGCATATCTTGTTTCTTTTGTTCATCAGAAGTAGGTAAGCCAGCTTCACGTCGATGTTGATCATACATCATTTTTTCAACCATACTTCGAGTTTCACCATCCAAATCCGACAACTATATTCAATTAAAATTTCATCAAATATAAACAATCAATTGAAATCTATTCAAAGATTTACTTTTGAATTTTCAGGTTGAACTTTACGTGTATTTATTTCCGGATCTGATTTTACTAGACGACTCCACCATTCCATTTTGTTAACCTTAATTTTGAATTAAAATAAATTTATTAATAAATATAAATTCAAAATAAACAAAAAGAACTACTTTTTCAATAACAATATGAATAGCTTTTCCATCATCTAATGTCCACATAGATTCTTCTTTTTTCAACTCTGCAAATGTTTCTCCATCAATAATTGGTGGATGACCACGAAGACCGACAAATAAATGCTATATCAAAGAATATAAATTTGAATAATCATTGTAAGAAAAAGGAATATACCTTGCGTTCGAATTTGACAATAACATCTTTGGATTTTATACGAACATTGAGAGTTATTGGTACACGTAACTAGTTTGACAAAAAAAATAAATGATTATTTAAATATATAGAACAGAGAAAAACTTACATCGATTTCTTCGAGTGTTTGCGTCCATGAATAATTTGGTCCATTCCATCCATTACCTGCATTGGGTTTTTCTTTTCCTTTATCTTCTTCACTTTCATCTTCATCTTCTTTCTATTGATAAAATTTTTTTTTTGTTTTTATTAATACTTTCCGAAATAGATTAAATTATTTAGTTTTACCTTATCATCCTTAGTTTTTTCTTCATTATCACCTGAAGATTCAGTAACATGTACGGTTTCGTCTTGTTTTACAACTGGAGCTTCATTGTCTGATGCCAATTTTTGTGCCTAAAAATACGATTTATTGTTTTTAAGATTTTATCCCTGTAGTCTTTTTTTTGGTGACTGTTTTTTTTGCTTTCGTATTTTT